CCATGCCCGGCTAATTTTTTCTTTATATTTTTAGTTGTCCGATTAATTTCTTTCTATTTTTAGTAGAGACGGGGTCTCGCTCTTGCTCAGACTGGTCTCGAACTCCTGAGCTCAAACAATCCGCCCGCCTCGGCCTCCCAGAGTGCTAGGATTACAGGCGTGAGCCACCGCGCCCGGCCCTGAGAAGCTACTTTTTAAAGAAAGTTGCAGCTCTTATTCTGAGAGCAAAATTAAAAAGTTGCTTGACCCATGTAAAATTTGAATTTAATAATGAATTTATTACGAATGTCCTCCTTTCTTTGTGTTTATTAATTGCAGATAACAAGGGCCATCCGCAGACTTGAAACATGAGTTCAGATGCCAGCCAAGACGTGATTACCACTCCTCCTCCTCCCAGCATGCCTCACAAAGAAAGATATTTTGACCGCATCAATGAAAATGACCCAGAATACATTAGAGAGAGGAACATGTCTCCTGATCTACGACAAGACTTCAATATGATGGAGCAGAGAAAGCGAGTTACTCAGATCCTGCAAAGTCCTGTGAGTTGAAATAATTAGAAGGCTATAATTTTTCTTCCTCTTTGGTAAACTTAATATAATGAAGTAGAAGGTATCTTAAACTACCGTCAGGTTAAATGAGGGATAGAGAAAGAGTGACCAGTTACTTCCAGCCTTTCGAAGGAGAAATGGACACCTAATTCATATATTTTATTTGCAAACCTTTAATAACAAACTAGTATTGGGTTTGGTGGTTTAAATTTTCTTTTGTGTGTTTTCTGGGTGTAATGCTTCACTGAAGGAGGACAAAAGATTTTACTGAATTCAAGGACACCCATTTCAGAATGAATATCTTTGAAGAAAAGAAAGACATAAGTCATAGGAACCAAGAAATAAGTTACGTATATCCCGTGCACATATTTTCTTTTTCCTTTGGATACCTTGACACTCAGGGCAGCATAGGAAGATTTAAGGTTTTTGAGGAAGTCTACAATTTGGTAGCCTAATGTTACATATACCTCATGCAGGCACACATGTGAGAAAACACACCACATTGAATTAAAAGGAGATTATAAATTCGGCTCAAGCTGAAAATTCAGTCTGCACAGTAGTATTCAGATTTTGTGAATCATATTCAAGTGATTTGTTAGTTTTCTTACAAACTCTTAGAATTGCCCAGGTCACATGTAAGTGATGGAAAAATGAGAGAACAGCTTGATTTAAGATGCAAAATGAATTAATAACTGCACGCATAATGAAGGTCATGCACCCCTTAAGGCAGAATATTCAGCACATAGGCACATGATATCCAGGTTAAGGATATATTAGGTTTCCAACTTGAGTACCAAAATAAGAACCAAGGCATAGAGGTGCCTGAAGTGGCCCTGGTAAATCATTTTTGTTGTGTCCTTATTAATTCAATCACAGAGATTGAGTCCAAAGCTGAAGGAGAATTCCATTCTAATTCTCCCATACCAGTGCTCTTGGTTGAAAGCATTGAAGTACAAGTTACAAAAGCAATGCAAGCTTTGAGGAATTTTAAAAGTGTAGCACTTAAAGAAACCCTTTCCAAATGGAAAGGAGATTAACCAGAAAAGTCATGATGAGAGAGTAAATGTTCAGTGCCTTATTTTATGCAAACTTGGGCTTTTGTGTTTATAAATACTTGAGGGCACATTATTTCGATCAAAATAGATTTATTTCCTCCTCTAAAGAAACCCCACTTTTAAGAACTAACTTATTAACCAAATGATTGTAGTGATAGATAGTATATAGTAATTGAAAGAATGAGATGAAATTCAGATTTGGTTCACGGGTTATTAAATTTTGAGATTTCTTTGTGAAGTGCTCCAAAGAGGGACCATTTGATTCTAACTGTAAAATTTAAATGAAAATACTAAACTGCATTTTCATGCCAGGGTTTTTGTTTTATAGTTTATCCATTAAACTAAAGACAGCATAACTCTGAGTAAATATTTAAATTTTTTATATTTAATACAAATGTATTTCTATTTGTAAATTGGCTTAAAAGTATCAATTTTACTTATACCTTGGGAAACTTAATGAAATAATGCAAAGGACAAACATATAGATTGTTATTTCCCTATGTACTGAATAAGAATAATCATTTTCTGTCCAGATAGGAACAAAGAAAACTGAGGCTTAAAAGAATTGTGGATTGATTATTTTTTCTTTGCTAATGAATTTAAAATCTTGTTTGTGAAAGACTTGGAAAAGTGCTTAAATTTTGTCTTCCTGTTATATTTTAGGATAGTGGTTTTCAAATTTCTTTTAATGCAACAGAAACTTTTCACCAAAGGAAATGATACATGGTGGCTTGTGTTAAATATTAGTTATCTACCACTAAATAACAAAGTACCCCAAAACTTAGTAACTTAAAACAACAAGCATTTATTATCTCACCATTTCTGTGGGTTAGGAATTCAGAAGCAGCTTAGCTGAGTGATTTTGGCTCAAGTTCTCTCAAAGTTACAGTTAAGATATTAGCCAAGGCTACTGTCATCTGAAGGCTTGACTGGAGCTGGAGGATCTGCTCTTATAAGATGGATCACTAACATGGCATTTGGCAAAAAGCCACAGTTCTTTGCCATGTGGACCCTGCTCAAAGGCTGCTTGAGTGTTCTCCCCTGGATCAAGTATCCAAGAGAGAGCAGCCTGCAATGCTTCTTATGACCCTAATATCAGACATCACACACATCATCACTTCCACCATATTTGTAAGTTATAAGTGAGTCACTAAGTTCAGCCCATACTCAAGGGGAGAGAAATTAAGCTCAGCCTTTTGAGGGGAGAAGTGTCCATTCTCTGGTCTCAGTTTATTATTTATTTATTTTTTTTAGAGGTGGGGTCTCACTGTATTGCCCAGGCTGGATGCAGTGGCTATTCACAAGTGCGATCACAGCACACTGCAACCTCAAACTCTCATGCACTCAAGCAGTCCTCTTGCCTCAGCCTCCCAAGTGGCTGGGACTACGGCACCCAGCTAATTTTATTTTAAAAACACCACAGTCTGCCTTCAGTAGGCAATTTATTTTTCTTCTTCCCACATGCAGTCTCCTAACATTCCCTAAGTCTTATCCCATTACACCAGCTGAAATCCAGAATCTCATCATCTGGATTTGGTCCAGGTGCAGATGACCCTCATTAGGGTGTAGTTACTTAAGTACAGCTCCTCAAATAAGTTCTCAGTCTATAGACCGATGAACTAAAGAGGTAAGTTATCTGCTCCCCACACACTCAGTGGCAGGATAGGTATAAGATAACTGCTATAGACATTCCTGTTCAAAAAGGGGAAAAGTAGGTGATACAAAGGAGTGACTGGTCCAGAGCAATTGTGAAATCCATCTGGGTGAAATATTTGGAAGTTCCTTGATGAGTACTCTGTCCTACTACTTACCAGGACTGAATCTCCATGATGCTACCCTCTGGGATCTTGGTTCCACTGTCTGAATCATCCCTTATTTTCCCCAAATGGAAGCCTATGTTGGCAACTGTGTGTTTTTCTCAGCCTGTTTTCTTCTTATAGAGGTTTTGGGGATCCAAAGGCCTTTTTTCCTCTTGTACTGTCTTTGTTCCTTTTGGCCCAAGCTTGCAGTGTTTCTGCCAATATAATTATCTTAAAAATTTTATGGGTCTCCTGTGAATATTGGGGTTCACTCTGTTAGACAAAATCTATAACCAATTAAGATCAAAATCAAAGATATTACTAATTCATATTTGTAAGTAACAAATTCATAAGTCTTTAAATTTTTTAGTTAATTTGGGAAGAAAGAAAATCAGGAGAGAAATAAAAGCAAAGTATAATACTTTTTTATTAAGCACTTATGTGCCAGGCACCTGTTACGTGTGTATGATAATCTTTAATCCTCAAAGCAACTCAGTTAAAGAAGTATTAATATCCCTAGTTTACAGATGAATAAACTGAAACTTAGAGACATTAAATAACTTGCCAAAGGTTTCACAGCTTAGTTAAATGGTGGGGTAGGAATTTAAACTCCAGAGCTCAGACCCTTAACCACTAGTCTGTACCACTTATGGCATTCAATAACAGTGAAAAAATTCCATATATTATTGTTTTATTCATCTTTAAATTCTCTTGCTCAAGTTAACCCAACCCAAGAAGAATTTCTAATCATAAGACATTTTGGTATAAATGTGAATTTGGGTAACAAAAATAGCACCTTACTACTTGGAGCTCAGAAAAAAAGAGAACAAAGTATTTGTTTCATTCTGACCCTCAACTATTACTTCTTTCTAGGAATTTCAGAGTCTTTCTTCATATTTAAATTTTTTAAGAAAAATTTGTGGTTCCTTTTACTGACACCAAAGACAAAACTAAGTTTCTTACAACTTTTACAAAGGCTGTTTATTCATACACTTGCAACAAGGGAACCCATCTACCATCACTTATATTTCAGCAGGGGTTCAAAGGAGTCAGAAAGGGGAGTGAGTTTCATAGAGCAAAGAGAGGAAAAAATGTACAGTCTCCAATAGGCAAGCATTCTAGTAAGGTGGGATTTTTGGAAGCAGGAGACATTCTATCTGGCCTCTGCTACATCTGGCAATCCTTGGTTGGTTAAAAAAGTGCAAGTGAATAGTTTGGGGACATTTCAATTGAGGAAAGCTTGCCACATATTATGGGTGGAGAGTTTTCTGTGGCCAGCTGTTTTCCGGAACAAATGGTTATCAACAGAGTGCTTTTTTTGCTGTCAAAATGTCATAGTCACAAAGATCCTTCTGTAGGGTAGGTGTGGTTGCTATAGCAGGAAGTTTCTCACTGACAACATCAAATTTTATAGGAAAACTCTTTAAGCTTTATAATTTTAGTTGACAACTATTAATCATATGCTCACCATCTTTCACTTCCTAATCCTTAATGTTTTCTGCTTTAGGTTTATATAGCATCATAATACTCTTTCTACCTTTCTACAATGTCCTCTCTGCCTCTGTCAAAGGTTAATTTTTTTTATCCTACTCTTGATGTATAAACTTTCCCAAAGGTCAGGACTTGATTCTCTT